GGTGGCGAGAAGCTAGTTGTCGGCGGGTTCTAGGAGTAGGTGCAGGCGGCAACGGTGGTGGGAGGAGGGCTGTCAGCTGGGGTGGACCCTTAATGTAGTGCAACTTGTACACATACGCAAGCCCTGAGACTGCCCTCCTGAGCTGCAGGCTCTGAAGGATCGTGCCAGGTCCAATGATTCGCATTGCCTTCTCCTGCACCCTGTCATAGCGTGCTAGGTGGGGTTGGGCTGCACACATGATAGCTAGGGGAGCCTACTCCAGGATGGGCCGAATGAACCCCTTATACACGGCAAGGCAGCCCTCATGACCCAGAAGCCAAGCAGCACGGCGCAAGAATCCCAGGCGCTGGCTGGCCTTGACAGCGACAGCATGTATATGGCGCTGGAACCCAAGCTTAGAGTCGAATGTGACGCCAAGCAGCTTGAGGTGGTCCGAGTCCGGAATAGTCTCGCCGGCAAAGGTGGTTGGTGGAAAGTCAGGGCGCTTTCGAGCATTGCACAAAATCAGGCGCGGGCTCTTGGTGGGCTCGAACTGGATCCGCCATTGCTGGCCCCATGCGGCAAGATTGCTGAGGGTTGTCTGTAAGGATGCTGCCTTCTCCTGGAGGTTGTCGTTTGGTCTGATCAGACTGTACACGGTAGTGTCATCGGCGAAAGAGCTGAGCTTTACTCCATGCGAGAGGCATTGGTCGATATCGGCAGCAAACAATATGAAGAGTGTGGGGCCCAGGACGCTGCCTTGGGGCACTCCGGCAGTGATGGGGTACTTCTTGGAAGCGTGGCCTCCAGTTACCACCTTTAGGCAGCGGTTACTCAGGTAGTCGCGTAGCCAAGAGAGAAGAGGTCCGCCGATGCCTACTCGCTCTGCTTTGTTGACGAGGCCGACGTGAGAGACGCGGTCAAATGCACCGGCAATATCAATTGCTACTACTGGGACACAGCCCCCCTCAGCTACGACCTGCACCCATTCGCTCTGGAGTGCTGTGAGGAAGTCAGCTGTGCCACGGCCACGTCTAAAACCAAATTGGCTGTCAGGCAGCAGTCATGAAGTAGTAGTCATGAAATAATATTGCTGGATATTATTTGAATTGCCCAGCATGCCCACAAATCCGCAGAACGTGCCAATATTGAGCATGAAATAGGACAAAACATGGACAATGAAGGCGGTTACATATGAAAGGCGAAATCGGTCGAGAAATGATGGGCCAGATCTCTTCCGCCAATATGACGCTCTGCAGCCACGATGGCAGGTGATTGACCACCTCAGCAAAACAAATGCAATTTTGCAGCATAGCTGTGCCATCATTACAACATACTGGAGGTCACTATGCTTGTTAACCACCAACTGGACAATGTTCTTCAATGCGCAAGAGCACTTCATGCCACATATCCCGTTCGTCGAAAAAATATGACCAGAGTAAATGACCCCCTCTCAACATCGACACCATGCTTCTTCTGATGTTCATTCTGGGAAATCTGTGCAAGAACTTCCTGTCGTGACAGCAAGGACATCGAGGGGAGGGTAACCCTCACATCAAAGAATGCATTTGTTGTGGCGACCAAAAGCCCCTTGCACGGATATCCAAATGAGCCTCTGCAGCACGATTAGCGGCAGCACCATGAAGTTGCTCTCCATCCAACTGCAAAAGCGGTGGCTTCGTTTGAACATCAGGGATGGCAGAAATCATCACCTCCGCCAGTACGTAACGCAGCTCGTCGTGTCGCAGACTTGAGTAGCCCCCTGGGCGTGTTAATGCATGGTCGACAGACAGGTCTCTGCCACATACACAAGTTGGTTGGAGGCCGCCAATACCCCGGCCATAGCGCAGGGCAAGCCCATACCGGAAACAATGACAGGAATTCAGAGGCCACCGGACTTTACGGGCAAACCGATAAGACTCCGCTCCACGGTGGACATGTTCTTCTGACCAGTGATTGCTGGTATCAAGTCGTTATTAATCACAGTATCAAGCCTGCGGAAAGCATCCTGCTCTGGCAAGCCATGTGAGCACAGATGATAACGCCAACGCGACCTCCAACCATGGGAGAAGATAGAATAAGCAACACGTGGCTGGGTTTCCGCCAGAATGGACAGATTACCGACCGCCCTGCACCAGACAGAATCATGACGACACATGCTCTCCTGTGCGAAATCCTTCTCACCAATGGCCCCACCAAGATAGCGAACACCATTGGTCAGCACACATATACCTGTAGGCTGGAACAGCTCTTGGCCTTCAGACTCCAGGGTGGGTTTCACCAGCAGCACTGTCTTGGCTGCATTTGGATAACAACCATGCTTCGGGCCAATCTCCTCGATGGACTTCTGAAAAGAATGTATGGCCGCCAATCTACCACCCGACTCGCCATCATCCGCGTACCAGCATTGGTTTGCATCAGGGTTAGCCCTTTCCCAAAGATGCCATAATTTTTCCCAACTTATGCTTTTCGCAACCGTGCCAAAACAAGTGCTAGTTGCTGAAATCGCATCCATATTTTCAGAAAAAGCTCAAAAGTTGCTAATATCGCAATCTAAAATTGGAGAGTTCTTGTGCAAAAACCTACAAAAAAGGGAGCATGAATCGCAGAAGTGCAACGACAGCAAACTCGTAGATCTACACCCCTGCCTTCCTGCTGGGAACCACCACTTTACACCGTGCCAGTAGCCTGTTGCATGACATCAAGAGTACATAACCCCCAGGGGTTATGTACTCTTGATGTCATGTATCCTACATGTAGATCTACATGATTGTACATGTACATCATTCCAGTGCAAGGGAATGTACATAATTATCATAACTACCGTTGATCTACTGTTTCTCTGAAATCAGTCTGAACTTAGGCAGGCGAGAAATGAGCGAGTAGATCTACGAGCATGCATTTTTCCGACATGTAGTCTGTGAGTCGGTGACTTGACCTTTTGACCCCATGCCAAGGTTGCGGAAAAGTTGCGAAATAGTTCGCGAAAATGAAGAAAGTTGCGAAAGTTGCGATTTCTTCCTAAACAACGAAAAGTTGCGAAAAAAGTGGCAAGCATCTTTGGGAAAGGGCTAATCAGGGTGCTGCTCACGGTGTTTACAAATCGTAGGAGCCACTACTAGGGCAGACATAGCCATGGCCAGAGAGTCTCCCTGACAAGCTCCCTCGCGCGAGTAGTGCTGTAACCAGGAGTCTTAAAATATCGGTATTTTACTACTCCTGGTTACAGTACATGCCTGTAGTTGCCAGTGTCGAAGAGTACACGCTTTCGTTTGGCAGTCATTTTTCGGCAAGGTTTTTTGCAGTCAGCATGTGGGTCGTCTTTCTCGTCTATGGCTGTGGTGTAGGCTTTCCCCAAATCGGCCGGCCGAAAAATTCGCCGAAAACGAGACTTATCGAAAAATCGCAAGCCTTTCGCTGATATTGGAGGGTTCCTTTGAGAATCGCCGAAAATCTACCAAATGTTGCAAAGTGCGTTAACGAACGAATGATATTGCTGCAAGCATGCCCGCTCGAGCTCTCTACTTCAGTACTTGTAGTACTAGTGTGCTGAGGTCGTGTGACTTGTGTCCTTTGACCTCCTCTCAAACAAACATTAGCCATGAGGAAGATCGTTACTAGTAAAATCTCCAAATCGGCCGGCCGAAAAATTCGCCCAAAACGAGACTGATCGAAAAATTGCAAAGCGTTTCGCCGATTTTGGAGGGTTTCTTTGAGAATTGCCGAAAACTACGAAATCTTCCAGCATCTCACCAATTTTGAAGCCAATATGCTAACAATTCTTGTAGTCGATTTTCCAATACCAATTTTGCAGCCGATTTTCGAATAATCAGCTGATTTTGCAGCCGAATCTGATGTATTTGTCGAGCTTAGAGAAAAGGCGAATGGGCGAAAAAACGGGCCGATTTTGGGGAAAGCCTACTGTATACATGAGATTTTCAAGACAAGTCTGTATGCTGGAAAAAGGTGGATGTTTGCACGAAGAGGGTTGTCCGTGGGATAATTAAATCTAGTTGGTACTACGCTGCGTACAACTAAAATAGGCAGATTTGAATGGAAATGGGCAGTCTCAAATGTACCGTACATGTGAGGTTGGCCGATTTTTAATCACCCAACACTGTAATAGGAGAGTACTCGGAATTGTGTGGGAGGGCAATTCGTCGTTAGCTCGAGGATACTGTCAAGCCGGCGATTTTGCAATCTTTTGACTACATGTACTAATTGTGTTCCTTTTTGCGAAACCGGTCTCTCTTTTTGGTGCCAACTCGAGCGCTAGATCAGGGTAGATCGTTGTCCACAATTACACTGAATCACGAGGCCATAACAGGTATACATGTGTACGTGGTAGAGGAGGAACCATTTTCATACGCAGTCAAGGTGGCTAGCTCATACTCATAGTATCCCTGGTCACGAGAGGAACCATGCTAAATGTCGGGTAGCGCCGATGCCCGGAAAAATTCCCAAAACTGGGCAGGGGTGCATGAACACCATGCAAAGACTACTCACCAAGATTTTATTTACTCTTGCTACTACATTCCATGTAGGCCCGTGAGGTGAGAATCCCTCATTGTTAGCTAATTGGCTACGTTTATGCGCCCGTTATCCCGTTGTTCCCATAATTATGGGAACATACCTCTAACCCAGCCTTCCTTGATCCGAACGAAATAATATGTTGACCCTTAACTTGTGTGGAAAGTTGCATGATGATAGGACGATAATTCCTGGAGGGGTCGGGACGATAAAGGTTAATGACTGCCCATCGCTTTCCGAGCCTCTTTATTATACATAGCCGAGGCACAATGGGTGTTGTACCCAAGTGTTGCTCACTTCACCACTCGAAACTTGTCGATGTACTAAAACAATACTCGGCCGGACAGTACCCTACTAGAGTACGTAGCATCTGTCGCTGTGGAATCTGTCGCTGTGTATAACTGAAGTAAGGTCAGCTTAGGAGTAACCTCACACCTGGTTATGAGTTCCAAACTAGCGATGGGCACGATCAGAAGCACCAAAACCAAAGAGGAGTTCGCAGAATACTAGATTTGAAATTTGGCAAGATGGGCAAAAAACGCAACCCCACGCGTAAAGGAAGTAAAGTCACTACAATCATCCAAGGGAATAACTCCTACAATCCGGCATACCTCTGCGAACTAACAATGAATATCGGTCGGTAGCCAACTGGTGTGCGCTTGAGAGTGGACTGCAAAGGTTGCACTACTAGCCTTGGGTGAGGAGTAAAAACAAAATTAACAAAATAGCATGCAAACCTCCATACTACATTGTACTAGTCTGCCAGCAGACCTACAAACAGGGTTAAGAAACAACAGCACTAATAGATCTAAAAGGCCAGATTTTATTATGACAAAAGTTCTTGCATGGCACTGGAACGTGTAAATTTCTCACGATAAAGTTCTTTACAGCTCTCCAATTAAGAGAGCTTGAACAATGCTGCCCGGGCTGAGTTCAGTCACTTCAGCCGAGCGTGGCGGCAGGCAAAGAAGGGCGTTGGCACTGCGCATGCTTAGCAAACGACTACTGCACTGGCTGCCGGTGGTGGAAACCTCGGGATAGGGCGAACTATGGCCCTGGCCATTGGCCGCTGATGCCGACGCTGTGCTGAAGCGGACAACACAACGCTGATATTCGGGGCGAGGGTCAAGTGTGACCCGGTGTGACAACTACAGCAAGAAAAATGAGAAGATACAAGCAAAAATCTGCGTGAACGAGAGAATCGTCTGCTGCAGCACTGCGTGACTGTACCCTAATCAGAGTATTCTCTAATCCCCAACAACGCCCCCCCCCCCCCACTCAAGAGTACTGAAAGTTCACAAATTTTCGGGTACTTTTTATTTTCGGTGTGTCTGTTTCATACCTAAAATTTCAATACACCGAACACACAATAACACACATAATAGGGAACTGTTTCTCTCTACTTAAATTCTGTTCACCTAACCTGGCTTTTTGCCCTCGTACCGAACAAATCGAGCACGTAAAATTTCTGAAAATAGAGTAACTACTCCCTACTCTAACCCCCAACCCCGACGGCCAACATTCAAGAGTACTAGTAACTGGTTTGCTGCACTGCGTAACAGTACCCCAGTCATCCCTGATCCCCCACCCCGACGACCAACACTCAAGAGTACCTGGTCTGCTGCACTCCGTAACTGTACCTTATTTCAGAGTATTCCCTAATCCCAAACCCCGACGACCAACACTCCTCGCCGAGCGATTACTTTATAGCCTACTCAGGTCCTGGGGACTGCATGTCTGCAGTGACTATTGGTCAAGCAGCCTCAGGAATCCTTCCCAGGCTGTAATTTCTCACCGCACTTCGGAGCTGTTGAGAGCGCTCATGTTTCCTTTGCGTCTCCTTCTGACCGCCGTGTCTCTTTCCATGGCTGTATATTTACCTGGCGCTGCTTGCAAGCAGCACCTTTATATTTACATGATCCATGCTTTGCTTAACGGGGATGTAGACTTAGACTTTGAGAGTCAGTCTAGAGTTTGTTCACGCTTTGTTCTCCAGGCCGTGCCGGAGTAAGCTCTATATTACGTTCAGTGCCGAGAGTGACTGAGGGAGGGTAGCTGCCTCCTTTGCCCTTGGTCCACGCTCTACACCTGCATCTCGTATTGTGTTGTTGCTGCTGGTGTCCAGAACATATTATGCCAGTAAAAAAAACCATACAAAAGGCAGGATATAATGGAAGGCCAATGTACCAGAAAAATTGTGAGGGCGAATTGGTTGATGTAGCAAAGGCACAAGAAAGGCTCCCTGACTTGGAAAGTGAAAACGAGGCAGTGCGTAATTCCGTGAAGGATTGGGAGGGAATATACAGAACAATGCCTGGGGTCCTCCATCACGTTTCAGTTCACCTCCCTGCTCGCTATACGTGATGCTTTCTGGACCAGGCTTCGCAAGCGTGGTTACCCTCCTAGGTTTCTCCACGATGCGTTCAGTGATACCCCAGCTAGCTGTCAACTCATACCTCCAGCTAGCTCTGTGCAAGCTTCTGCCTCTTGCCCCACAGTTTTTGTTACTGACTATCACCCTGGCCTCCTCAGCCTTCAACGCACCCTGCAAAATTCTTTTCGCGCTAACTTATGGTTTAGGAAACCACATTCACGATGGGTATAGGTATTTTTTACCTCCATGCCTTGCACTCAACCTCGTGTTTGTTTTCTCGCCTTGCAAGCAACCCCGTGTTTTGTTCACGCTTTTTTCGCGCTAAATCGCTCAATTGCTTTTTTCGCGCTAATTACTCGACAGTGCTCAACGCCTGTCTGTCCAGTTCTCTGGTTATATTGAGTTCCATATTGTCATTTATCTTCATTCCTCTGATGAAGTGACTCATGTCACAGACACCGGTCAGGTTAAAGAACTTGGAACTCTCCTTGCTTGTGAGTGCGTGGTTATGTTTTAAACTTCCCGTGTAGGACCTTCGCCGCTGCTTCACGATGTGGCAACTGAAATCAGTGAGCAGTTCTGGTAAGTGAAATCCAAACCCTGGCTTCCCATCCACTGCAGGTACTAACTTACTTAGTAGTAGTGTGGTCTCATGTGCCATGATGGCCATCCACACAAGACTGACCCGTACAGGAGAAAATCTATACTCAGTACAGTCGAGGCCAAAGAAATCCGATCAGCGAGTCAAACAAAGAAGAAAAAAGCAGAGCCGCGTTTCCATTTTAATTACATCCTGCACAGTCAGTCCACGCACCCATGCGAGGGTTGCACGGGCCACATGAGCCTTGGCGCTGCTTTCGGCTCACGTGTCTGATTTCTTTGGCCGCGACTACATGTAGTAAGTGGCCATGGCTATGCAAACGACATCATTTCATAGAGTGAATGACATCATCACACACAATTTGCATTGAGTAGCAAAGCAGTGAGTCTGAGCTCATACCAACCAATCTAAAACGATGATGTAATCGCATGACCTCTATCGTCCTGTGTGGAGAGGCCACATGTCTATCGAAACTGGGTTTCCTTGCACCATGGCTTTCCCTGCAGCATTCGGCGGTGGCTAGGATGAACCCCGCTGAACAAGCATACGAGATACTGTCATTTCACAAATTTTCGGTGTACTTTTATTTTCGGTACTTTCGGTGCATCTGTTTCATACCTAAAATTTCAACACACCGAACAGACACTAACACACATAATCCAATAGGGAATTGCTCCTCTGTACCTAAATTTTCTGTTCACGTAACCTGGCCTTTTGCCCTCATACCGAAAACATTGAGCACCGAAAAATTTCTGAAATTCGAGTAGTGCTCACCACTACACTTACCTTGACGTGTATACAGGGTAGTGTCGGCCGTGCTAGTCCAGACATGCAGCGGAGAGCGGGCACGGTGAACAAGTGGAACGTGACCAGGGCCGAGACAGGATTACCTGACAACATACACACATCGTGGAAGAAGGAGACATAGAGGAACAGTCTTTATAGATAGACTGACGAGTGCTGTCACAGACGCCTTGTGCTGCCCAGGAAAGATAATTCAGATTTTCAGTATAAAAAGTAAAAAAAAAGGAGAATTTTACACCAGGGAAAGTCTCAACACCACTTTACATACATAGCCCCTTGTACCACGGGTGTGCAATCTTCACTCTTTTTGTACAGGAAAGGAACGTCCTGCTGCAACCTTTTAAAAGAGAGTATACAATGCTGACTCATTTCCATTCTATCAAAAAAGTTTGTCTCACCAGGCAAGGCAAACACCAACTTCTCTGCTCGGTCATCCTTGGCCGGGATGGTGACGAACGTTGTTGGTTTCCTACAGTCCATGATCGACATCACACAGAGCAATGGAAAGCATGTATCAACATTCACTCCCAACAAGAATAGCAAACACACAGCAAGAATGGCCATGCAAGGAATTAAACGTTAGACGTGCTGTGCGAGGAGGAGGATGGCAGGCAGTGCCTGAGGTGCAGGACGCTTCACTACATGGCATTTCAGCACTTCAATGATACGGCACGCTTGAGCAAGACAAGACCTACCCTGGCTTCATATGCACGCGGCCGAAGTGCAGCGTGCCTCCAAACGTGCTCGTCAACACAGCTTTCAGCAAGTCCTGCAGGGAAAACGGTACGACAAGAAGACACGAAGCAGAACAGCTTGTACACTGTCCTCACACCATCCAAGGTCAGCTCACAGCCAGGCATACACGCCTGGGTTGAAGACCGGCTCCCTGGTAGTGTTACAAACATATTGCCAAGCCTGATTTCTTCACATGCAGGATGTACATCTCAAGCCCTGTCACCATGCCATGTTCTTCCAAGACAGCGTGAGGACTGTGTTTGACTGCTGACTGTAGGTAAATACTTCCTATGAAAACAAAAAACTTCGTGACTTCGATCAACCTGTCAGTTCTGATGAATTGAGCTCTGAGGAATCTAGCAATGGCGACAACAAAGTGAGACTCAAACAGTGCCGCTCTTCTTTGTATCAGATTTCTTGAGCACAACGACTCCATAGAATGTGAAGAAACAAGTCGCGAGTTTTATTTCTTTCCAGAGGAAGAACTGTACAAGTAAACAAACCGAAATAAATGAATAAACGGAGCAGTCAAAAGTTGACAAGAAACGCAGCTCTCACCTTTTCTCCCATTGAAACACCGCCGGAGGTGACAAGCACGTCGACTTGCTCCAGAGCTGCACGTATGGTCTCACCGAGCGCTTCTAAGCTGTGCATTAGATCGAGAGCGCATGGAGAACGTTCTACTTGGAGCTAGAAAGAATCGTTTCAAAAGTCGCGACACTCTACGTACTTCAAATGGTAGCTCAATGTAAGGAAAGGCGCATCTTCGAGCACCAATCCTGGCTTTCCTACAATCTACACTGACCTTCGAACACCAATCCTGGCTTTCCTACAATCTACACTGACCTTCGAACACCAATCCTGGCTTTCCTACAATCTACACTGACCTTCGAACACCAATCCTGGCTTTCCTACAATCTACACTGACCTTCGAACACCAATCCTGGCTTTCCTACAATGTACACTGACCTAGAAGCACTATAATAATAATTATATGAGTCCCGGTCTTGCGACCATTTGAACCGTCAGGAGCACTGTGCGTCCTCGCCTTGTAACATGCTGTCGAAATCGAAAACATGTTGAACTATCAAGCAAGGCTTCTATATATATAATCAAGCGCTATACATGTTGGTACAATGGGAACGTGTATTATCAGCCAGTGCTCTCTTCAGTTATGCACAGCTACTGGCAATACTCCACAGCCCACTAACATTGCAAGCATATTCAACTGAGGTCACCCCGGGAGTCAGTTTGTTTCGGGGTCACCAGGCCAGTCCTCTTTCCCGATACGCAACCGCAGATAGAATTTCTATTATTCTAGGCACACCAGCAGAAAAGAGGATGACATCATGGCTGCCTGCATGACCAACGCACTGGTGTCACTAGCTCCTCGCACTCCTATACCCGTGTAGCCAGGATCTGGGCATGGCAGGACCATCACATGGTACTGGCTCATCTGAACAACACAATCAGAACTACATGTATGCAGTGCAGCCACACAAAGAAGCCTGATTGAACAACCAATCAACCCTATTGCAGCTAGAAGAGTGACCCAGAGCAACAAATTAATTCTAGGCGGCCAGAACACGTAAAACCCTCAAGCCCAAACAGTACAACTTCAAGATAGCCCCCAGAATCCAGTGCATGCTCATACATATTTATGTCTAGCTGCAGCAGCCCTACCTGTCCTTGGCAATACCCAGGTCCAACGCCGTGAATCCTTTCTCCCGCACAGCTGCCATGAGCATGGCTCGATTGCTGTCACGGATATGACCACCGGGCAACGTGTCAGTGGCCGGATCGCACAGCTGTGCCGGGTGACGAATCAACACATATACACACGTACATACACCCACAAGCACACAAGCACACAAGTACGCACACACACACACACACACACACACACACACACACACACAGAAAAACGTGACTCACAGCAAAGCTTTCAAAAATTCTACATGGAGCTGAATTTCAAAATCAAAACGGATGCAAGTACATGTAGAGTTGCGCTCGGTGAACTCCGACCCAAAGTGCAAAACTGGCAACCTGGATTAGTTCTGATCGCGTCATTGTATTTGTACATGTGTACGTCCAGCTGCATTCGTGCCACTTCCAGGGAGTCAAGGGCCGTGTGCACTCTAGTCTGGGTCGAATTTCACCGAGCACAACAGCATTTCCACAAGAACTTTCGCTTTGCAGATCAAGATTTTACGCAAATGTTTGCATGTCTACGCAAATGCTGACGAGAATGATCGCGTGAACTCTCCAACTCCACTGCAGCGTCTTCTTTCCACTTGTAAACGCTTCCATTCCCTGGACAGGCTCTCAGCTGCACGCATTGGCAGACCTTTCATTCATTTGGTACAGATGAGAACCTTGGAAGCTACATCCCATTGGACTATAGAGGCAGATGAAGGAGAAAGGGAGAGAGAGAGAGAGAGAGAGAGAGAGATAGAGAAAGAGAGAGAGAGAGAGAGAGAGAGAGAGAGAGAGAGAGAGAGAGAGAGAGAGAGAGAGAGAGAGAGAGAGAGAGAGAGAGAGAGAGGGGTGGGGGTGACTCTACATACAACTCACCTCGTTTCCAGTCGAGAGGACACCAACAACTGGTTTGCGGTGAACATCAACCTGTAATGCGTAGTGAGCACACAGGAAACAGTACAAGATGGTGGCAAGAACATAGCAACATGACATCATTCAGGTCAACCATATAATAACTTTAATAAGAAAGTACCACACACGCATGCACATGCGCGTGCGTGCGCACACACACATCACACATACACACACACACCACACACGCAAACACACACACACACACACAGAGGATAGACTAGACCGTATTACTCTTACTTACATGTACACGTACAATGAAATGAGTGCTAATGACAATGTACTAGATGACAACAATCTTGCAAGTTACCATTGGACTCGACCTGGAGTGTTTCACATCAAAGATTATGTGGACCAATGTTAGGAATCGCATCCAACAGCTGCACTAACGTTACTTTTAGCACAACGTGAAATTCTGTGTCAGGAATGCCATTCAAATGTCGTATTCAAATGTGAACTGCCCCCATCCTCTACAATGAGTGCGTCAATGGTGAACGTGGATTAGTTGCATTTACCTGAGCCACACCAATGCTGGCCAGTAGGCCAATCTCGGCTGAACCCAGCGTACAGCCCGCTGTCAGGACACGCTCGCCTTGGGCAATGTCGAAACCCACCGGCCTGCACACAGCATACATGGTGAAATCAGGGTACGCATATCACATGCAATAACAGCATCAGACCACCACAATTACACGCACGCACACCACCACAATTACACGCACGCACACACACGCACACACACACACACACACACACGCACATACACACACATACAAACACATCACACACATACAAACACATCACACACACACAAACACATCACATGCACACACCCACCCACACACCCACACACCCACACACACACACACACAGTGGCTAGCCCTAAGTAATAAGTATACAGAATAATTACAATCTGAATAACACGCACGCACGCACGCACACACACACACACACACACACACACACACACACACACACACACACACACACACACACACACGCGCGCGCACACACACACACACACACACACACATACATACCCACACCCACACGCACACGCACACACACGCACACACGCACACACACACACACATACACACACACAGTGGCTAGCCCTAAGTAATACATGTAAGTATACAGAATAATTACAATCTGAATAATCAAATGGACGGAGAGAAAGAACTACATCACGTTCCAGCCACCTACCAAAAAGCACAGCTTAATTGTTTCGGAATGTGGATGCTCCTTGAAGCATGCTTTACAATGAACAAGACAAAGGAAAAAGATCCCAGTCCAGTACTCACCTTACATCATTGCCAACATCGACCGAGGTGCAAATCTTAACAACTACTTCCACCCGGCCCTGCACAGCAGAGAACAAGAGGAGTAGACATGCATAAGAGGAGTAGACATGCATAAGAGGAGTAGACATGCATAAGAGGAGTAGACATGCATAAGAGGAGTAGACATGCATAAGAGGAGTAGACATGCATAAGAGTAGACATGCATAAGAGGAGTAGACATGCATAAGAGGAGTAGACATGCATAAGAGGAGTAGACATGCATAAGAGGAGTAGACATGCATAAGAGGAGTAGACATGCATAAGAGGAGTAGACATGCATAAGAGGAGTAGACATGCATAAGAGGAGTAGACATGCATAAGAGGAGTAGACATGCATATCCGTACAGACACTACTACTGTAAAACCGGAAAGTTTAACGACCAAAAGTTTAATGTTTTTGTAATTTTGGCATGATTACGTGCAGAAAGTTTAACGATGGCTACCTGGCCACCCATCTGTATGCGGATCTTTACACAGACATCTCAAACCAGGTTCACAATAATGTTTCTTCAAATAACGAAACAAATTGGTCATTAAAACGTCGGATGTCAGACTCTGTGACTTGTTAGACTTTCCGGTTTTACAGTACCTAATAGAGCTTCTCAAATGACAGGACCAAATGATACACACACAGACACGATGGTAAACAACCACTGGAGGAATGGTGCTGACAGCCAAACACACAGACACACACCCTCCTCCTCCCCCCCCCCCCCCCCCCCACACACACCCATGCACATTGCTGACGCACTGTTCAACGTTAACCGGCCAATGGCAACCGCCGATATAAAGAAAGTGGGCGTTAGCCAGCCATGGCAACAAAAAGAAGGGAAAGAAGAAAGAAGAAACTTACATCATCGGCATCCTCCACAAGCTCTGTGTCTTCCACCTGCACGACTGCATCAGCGCCTTCCGGCAAACATGCACCAGTGCTGATCCGAGCAACTTCACTACTGCTCAACGTCACATGAGGCTATCGTTAGCAACAGAGACACAGGCAACAGCAGAACAGCAACATAAGGTGTGTAGCAGAATAGGCGGAGTCGAAAACTGAACGAGGGAAGCGGGCATGCAGGAAATAACTAACATACTGTACACGTGTGCGCTGCCTATCGCTGCGAAGGTTTCAAGTTTTCTTCACACCTTTCGTTCCACAGTTAATTGGGAACTCGTGGCCTGGCATGAGGGAAACATGGATGCAGTGAATGGGATTTTCGGTCTTTGACCACTTTGTGGCGGGTCTGATCTACTCACCTCCCACCGCTTAGGAGCTGCATCTGCGCCTTGATCCAAGAGGGTGGTGGCGTTCCTGCGGATACGGAAAACTGGGCCTTTGGCCGAGTCTCACGCGAACCGTGAAATTTTTTTCGTTCCACTCCCTCAAACTGATGACTAAGCAAACAAACACTGTGCATATCAAGTAGAGTTACAGTTACTAGAACACACGTATACGGATGCCACGTACGGAATCACCAGCTATGACGGGTCCGACGACTTTCCTCTCCCCGCTGCCGTCCGCAGCTGTAGGCAACACAGGAGCAAGTGATCGGAATATCGGATTGTAAGAGATACCTATTGTATTGTATTTATTCAACATTTCCTGGCTCATCAAACGACTGCCAATGACAAATGAATGTGAAATGAAGGGTGATAGTCAACCACGGCAACTATCCGAAACAGTAAAGAAAAAAGAGGAAAAGGCATGAAGGAATCAAGAGTCGAAAATAACCCGAGGAGACCTACTTCGCTAAGTGTACGGCAAACACTTCTGGTGCGGTTAAGCGTTGTTACAAATCACAAAAACAGGACACCATCAGTGCACATGCATTGCCACATGCACAGTCGCTGATACCATGTACATGTGCGTAGTAATAGTTTTCTATGCGGCAAAAAGGCTTGAGAAACACCATAGGCTTCAATCATGATTAAGACTACAGTCCGTTTCAAAAAGATTTACAATCCTGGCGATCGCCCGCGGAGTTTGGCGTCTTACCGTATGAGCACTCGAGCGCTGCCTGGAAAAA